TCATGCCATGAATCCGAATCTGGAAGTAAAAGCTTCTCGCTATTATAGGTTCATGAAATAAATAAAAAGCTTCGATTTTTACTATTTTTACAAAAATACTCTAAAGCTAGTTATTTTTCTTCAAAATTTTTATCAACTTCTTTCCATAGTACCAACCTGTAAAATCCCCTGTAAAATCAAATTAGATTTACAATCAAACGATTTCTTTTGAAAAGTCGATGTTGAAAAGAGAAGGTACGAATAAATAATTTATAAGACCCAAAGTTTGAGAACGAATGTTTATATAAATATTAGACGAGAATTGGGGAATATTAGGCGAATTGCATCGCCTAAATTACCCTCTTGATAACTCGAATCGTTCAGTTCTAGAGAAATTCTCGAAGCTAGATTCCACCACCCTCTTTGAGGAATAAAAGAATTGTATCTAACCTAATTATTTTATAATTACAAACCCATGACCCTAATAAATAATTTCCAAATTCCTCATTTAAAATTTCGCCAAGATTCTTCCTCTTCTTCCTCATCGGGTCGTGATTTTTCGGGAGAGTTCCGGGGAACGAGGATTTCATTAGCTTTCAAAATATTCGTCTTTGGTTGATTTCATTTCGATTAATTCGGAATAACACAGGGTTTGCAACTCGCCCGTTATCATGAAACCCATAATCCCAATAGCCGAGATAGTTACTCGAAAGCACTGAAAATTATACAGCGCGCTATGATTTTGCCGCGTAGTGTTGTATATGCTTCGCGGTATGGGGACGCTAATTCCAGGATTAATTAAACGAATACAAATGCGAGGTATGACTGTACTCTTGGGAATGTTGGCCGTTTATCGAGTCACGTTCCGGAAGAAAAAGCGGAGGAGAAGGCTGGAACGCGAAATCGAAATGTTCACGCTGCTCGTCGCGCGTCGTCTATCAAAGGAGATCTCTATCCGACGCGGTGGGACGAACGCGCGTCGCGTTTGCGGTAATTTGGCGAAGTCTGGCCACAGCTCGAGCGAGACTACTGTGCCCTGTCTGGGTGGTCCGTGTCGTAACGCGTTCGACTCCCCCGAAAGATTACACGCATCTGTCGACGTGTTCTCGATCCGTAGCTGATCTCCCCCTCGGAAAAAGAAATATCGCCTTACATCCGACCGACCATGCCAGTCTGCTCGTTAGGGCGTTAGTGGCCCCGGTTTTATTCCACGAACGGCGGCCTCCTTTAATTTTTAATTATTTTCCTCGCTATCCTGGCGCGCATGCACCGCGGCGTACACGAAGCCTTAAGAGAGGAAGAGGAATCGGGCAAAGTACCACACTGTGTGTGTGTGTTCGGAGAAAATTCGCGAGCGGCGCTGGTGCCGGTGAGAAAATGGGAATTCCGTGAGAAAGGAAGCAGCGGCGTGCGCGCGGCCGGAGGAAAGGGTGGAAGATTTCAGGGTCATCCTTCGATCCAAGGTTGCAGAGGTCGGCTGCTCCGCGAACGGGCTGTGGCTGCAGGAGTCAGCTCGCCACGCACGCGCGTCTTCCTCGGTGTTTACACGAAAGTTAATCTCGACTGTGTGGTGGATGCCGGAGAAGCGACAGGGAACGCCGGCAAAGGTGGGGCGCGGTTGGACGTTGTCGGTGTACGCGATGATAATAATAAACGTTGCTCTCCCTCCCGATCCTCTCTCCTCCTCTCACGCTCTCTCCGTTCCTCCTCCGGCGACCGCTGCCCTTCGCCTTTCTTCCCGGTCCGCGCTCGCTCCCGCTTTCCTTTTCTTCGTCTTTTCTTCTCTTGCTCTCACTTAGCGCGCGCGCTCCCGGCGGTGCCTTTGATCTCTCGCTTCGTTTGTGCATTTAAACACGGCTTTCCGAGTAGTGGAGAGAGAGCCGGCCTGAGCGGAGCGGCGCTCGAGGAGGACACGGGGGTAAAGCCCGTAATACCGACAGAGATCAACGTCGCGGCGAAGAGAGAAAGAGAGAAAGAGAGAGAGAGAGAATCCAGTCGAGTGGTGGAGAAAAATCTCGTGGAGACCTCAGAGACGTAAAGTGAGTTTCGCGATTACAAACGAGCCCTCCTTATGCCCCTCCGTCCCTCCCTCGCGTCCTCCTTCACCGACCATCTTCTCCGGGCCTCTCCTCTCTCCCACTTTCCCTCTGTCGCCGTCATGGTCATCCCTTCGCGATTTTTCCTTCTTCCTTCCGAGCCTTGTCGCTCTTTATTGTCGCATTGTGCGCCGACGACGGGCGGCAGCCCTCGAATATCTTCCTCCTCGAGGATAACTCCTCGAGATTAATGCTCCTTAATGGACTCAATGCCGGAGAAGAGCGCGCGGGCATTTTAACGCGGCCCTTTAATCCGCTCGCGTACCCAGGGCCCTGTACGCCGCCGAAAGGGGCGAAGGAACGAGCCGAGCAACGCCACGTGGACCATCGCCGAGAGGTAGAAAGGGGTGGCTAGGCCTCTACCGCGGCACCCTGCGACCGCTTCGCCCTCCGCTCCGGACGTTCAGCCGCGGTTTAAATACCCGATCGCGATGCTTCGTTATTAAACCGGAGCACGAGCCGATTTCGCACGCGCGCGCGCGCGGAGTAAGACGGCGGAGAAAGAGATCGGAAAAACCGCGCGCATTGGCGGAAGGGATTAATTCGCAAAGTAATCAGCCCCGAGAAACTGTAGAAAAGCTGGCCTCTCGACGCGTCTCGTCTCGTCTCGTCTCGGCTCGGCTCGACTTCGACGCGATAAAAAAAGCGTCGACGAGCAGAGAGGCATCGTCGTGGGTAAAAGTAAAAGGATTGGACAGGCTGCGCGGGCTCAGTCGGCTGTTAATAATGCCACCTCGGGGATGCGCGGAGCGCGCGCCGAGTAGTCGTCTCCATTTCACGGCTAACCAGGCATCCATGCGGAGTAAATTCCTGTTCCCGCCACTTTTTTCGGGAACTCGCGGATCGCTTCTACCCTAGCCGGTTGTCGCGTTTCCCTTTGAATCGATGCGTCGAACCAGGAGAACCCGGTCCCCGGATAGGCCGCCGTGCGCCCGGGAATCAAAGGGTGCGCGGGAAAATTAAGGAGCAGCGCAGCGATTCGCTAATGACTCGCGCGCGCTCTCGTCTTTGAGCTCCTTCCCAGCGTGCCGAGATTCCCCGATCGGGAATGATAATCTTGTAATGCACCGCGTGGATCGATGACGGACGAGCGACTGGGACGCGACGTATCGCGGAATGCAACCGCGTCGCGATGCTGATAATCCGACGACGAGAATCGTGGCCGCGACGATCGCGAGGCTATCGCTTCGATCGATCCGAGCGTTTCCAGAGCGGAGAGTTACGCTCGAGGAGAACGGGGACCGGTTAAGCGCCGGCGTTCGAGTATCGGAAGCGGAAGCTAGAAATTACGGTTTCCGGCCGCAAGTCGGACGAGGACGACGATCGATCGCGGACGAAGGGTAACGAGTTAAATTAACGGAGGAAGCCTTATCGCTCTGACGGTCTCCGGTAAACTGTCCGTAAGTTACCCCCAGATATCTGTCTCGAGTTTCCTCCCTGGTACTCCCCGGGATCAACTCGTCGTTGCCCCCCTTTCGTTAACAGGTTACCTGTCCCTGCGGTCTTTGCTTTACCAATCTGCTGCCCCTCTCCTCTGCGGTTGTATATCCTGGTTCAACCCGGAATATCTCCAGGCTGCCCCTATCGTCACCGGATGACGCGTGCGTGGCATAAGTCGCGCGAAATATCCGGCGAAACTGGCGCTGGTCGTCGGAACGGGTCGGCGGAATAAGAACGTGGCCGGGAATACGAAAACGGGGCGATTCGATTGCAGCGCCGACTGGCGGGAATCCTATCTACGAAGAACGCGGTGGAAAGCGCGATTATGGAACCGTGCGGAATTCCGGAACGGAGAAAGAGCAGCCGCGTAGGACAATGGGAGGGAAAGCAATTGCCAACCGTGGACGAGAGGCGAAGAAGGAGACGAAGGACAGAGAAGGAGAAGGAGGGGGAGGTGGAAGAAGAAGAAGAAGAAGCAGGCATGGGGTGGAAGAGTTGCTCTCTGGGAATGTCAGGTCGATTCCGTTCTCGTTCCTTTTTGCTCTATCGGAACGACGGTCTGAGAGCGCGTGTGTAACCTACCGGCGAAACCACCGCACCGAGTCCACGGATTTAATCGAATCAAATAAAACATCCCCGTCGAAGCCATCTGTCCCTCTTCTTTCTTCTTCCTGCCTTCCTTCCCCGCCCTCTCCTCGTTTTTTCCCCCCTTCTTTCGCCTCGGGCCGTGCCTTTCTTTTTGCCCGTTCTCGCGTTCGATTCGTCCTGCATCCGCGACAGGACTCGTCCAGACGACGCCGGCTACCAGAAGGACTCGCGGGTTACCGGCGAAAAAAGTACAGACCGAATGGTGGACGAAGAAGAAAGGAGTTAGTTCCCTCGACGTCGACTTTCGGCGATGTCCTCTGGTTTGCGCGGAACAAACGCTTCGGGGCGTCCTCCTTTTTTCTTAATTTACCCAGACTTTGTCGAAAGACGTCGGCAAATAACTTCACTCGCGTTTTAAGGATTCACGAACCACCGAGAGCCGCCTTTCCCGTTTCGACCGTTTCTTTTTCGCTTCCCTTTTTCTCTCTTTCTTTATCTTCTCTCTGTTCGAGGAAAGGGTCGGCGGACTTACTCGATACCATCCTCTACCCTCTTCTCCTCGACGTCGCTTTTTGTACTCGGCAAACGACCTTGCTCTTGAAAATGATTCTTCTCGATCCACGAACTGGCTGTCGCTCTTACGGCCCACCGCTATTTACCGCGTGGCTTTCGCTACCAGTCGCTTTGCCTCCCGTTGTTGCTGTCTCCTCTCGTGCGAAAGGGAACGTACGCGAGAGAGAGAGACTCGCGAGCTGCGACGGGCACGATTCACCCTCTGAAAGTATTTACCGATATCGAATGAAATTTGCATGCGTAGGAAAGCGCGACAGCGGGAGGTCGTTAAATTATTCGCAAGACGGCGGTGGGCTGATCGATCCGTTGGAATTTCTGTTTCAGGGATCAGCGAGGCGAGCGTGCAGCTGCAGCAACCTAAGTTACCCACCGCGATCCGCGTGGGAGGCGAAATTGAACTTCGATGTCACGTCGACGGCTCTGGAGACATGAAATACGAGTGGTTCAGGTTCGTTACATAACTTGCTGCTATTTACCCGTGCACCGTGAAACAACCCCGGGCCCGATAATTCCGGAAAAGCCGCGCGACTCCGAGGGCGAGTCGCACCCCTCTAGCCTCTCTCGACTAACTTCAATCTCGCGTCGCGTAACTGACACCCGTCGTTTACGTAACTACCCTTGAATTATCAAGCGACATTTTCCTTCGCCCTCTCTCCGTCCCTCGCTAGCCTGCGCTTTTCACCTTTCGCCTCGCCCTCGCGAGTTTGCAACCCTTCTCTCGTCGACGTCGCGTCGAAGCTCGCGGTAGCTCGCGCCCGCGCGCCTCTATCGATGGAAAATCCATCGCTCCAGACGCCTCTTTCGCGCTCCGGCCTTTCCACGCTCGAGAGACACGAATAATTTTTTTTTCTTTTTTCCGTTTTCTCTCCCGTAGAAATCACGAAGCGATGGTGGGAAGCGATCGGATCGAGATCAAGAAGAAGAAGCTGCACGTACACCGCGCGGTGCCCGAGGACAGCGGTATGTACAGCTGCCTGGCGAGGAACGATGCAGGATCCTCCCCGAAAATGGAGAGCTTGCCCCTGGTGGTCTCGGGCAACGACACCGCCACGATAAAGGTCGTTCCCAGGAATCTGATCGCGAAACGCGGAGAGCCGGCCGTTCTACACTGCGTCTTCGAGGACGCCGATTCCGTTCAGTGGTTCTTCAAGGATATCGGCCCGCTGGAAACCGACGACGAGAGGACCGTCTTGGACAACGGCACGCTGATCATACACTCCGCCGAGCACAGGGATCAAGGATTCTACTCTTGCCACGGCAACCGAGGCGAGAGTACCATCAGTTACACCGTCGATCTTCAGATAGCCTGTAAGCGTTGCTTTTCAACACTGGTCCGTCTGAAGCCGATGTTCTCTAGAAGCTTGCTTCATCAGAGGACATATGTCGTGTGTCGCAGATTTGATGAATCTCTCGGCTGCCTCGTTCGAGCCCCTGCTACCGAACCAAGTGGCCGTGGTAGGCGAGGATCAGGAGTTGCAGGTCAGCTGTTTGGAACCCGCTGGCCTGCCACCGCCGGAAGTCTATTGGGAGGACCCCACGGGACACATCATAAGCGACTCTGGCCCCGTGCGCGTTCAGGATAACACCCTGATCGTTGCCAAGGCTCGCAAAGGCGAGGACGACGGCAATTACACTTGCATCGCGGAGAATATGGCCGGGAAGAGCGATATATACGCCCGAGTGGTGATTTCCAGTAAGTCTACGACGCATCGCGTTATCTCTCGAGCGCTTCTCTTCCTCTTCGCTGCTCCTTCTCTCCCTTTCTTCCCCGTGTTCACGCGACGTCCGCTTCACACGCGTCTTTTCAGCCCCGCCGATGCTGATAAGCTCGCCGGAGAGTCAGAGCGTAATGGAGGGAGACTCCGTGACGATGACGTGCTCCTACTTCGGCATGGACCCGCCGGTCACCCACGTTCGCTGGCTGAAAGACGGGGAGCCTCTGAAAGAGACCGGCGGCCCGACGAGACATCGAGTAACCGATCGCTACGGCAACGTGACCCTGCACTTGAGGAGCGCCGACCTGTCCGACAAGGGCAGCTACACGTGCGAGATATCCACGAAGGGCTTCCCGTCGATATTTTCGGAACAGGCCAGCCTCACGGTCGAGGAGAAGCTCAAGTTCTCCCCGCAACCGGTGGACAAGCGACTGGAGCTCGGCTCGACGGCCAAAGTGCCGTGCAAGTCTCAGGGTGCCACTAATCCGACTGTGAAGTGGATCAAGGAGGGGGCAGGCGAGGAATTCCCGAAGCATGTGCAAGATATCAATGGAACTCTTCACTTCAATGGGGTTCTCGAGGAAGACAAGGGTCGCTACACGTGTGTAGCCAGCAACGCGCAGGGATCGATCAACCACACGATCAGTATCGACGTAGTCAGTAAGTGCGATTTCTCTCGCCGAGTCTGGCGAACGTTACAGGTAGGCTAGGTCTCCCCTGTACCGTGATACAGTCGTGTCGTTCGTTACAGTCGCCCCAAAGTTCACCATACAGCCGCAGAATCCGACTGAGGCGATCGAGGGTTACCCGGTGATGTTGCACTGCGCGGCCGAGGGCGACCCTAAACCGACCATACAGTGGGACCGAGACTCTCGGATGAATAATCTCAACAATTCCCGCTTCGAGGTGCTCGGTAATGGCAGTTTGTACATAAAGGAGGTGTACCTGGGCGACGAGGGAAAGTACGGGTGCACGGCGGGCAACAGCGGCGGGTTGAAGAGGGAGGAAGTTCAGTTGAACGTGAAACGTAAGTTTATTCGCAGTGCGTTTTCCGTCTTGGAGTTAGAATTTTCAGCGAGGGAAAGCAGGGGTTCGTTAAGCGAAGACGGGGTACCATTTGTTCGCAGCCGGTGACTCGTACAGATTCGACATGGACGCGGAAGTGCCGAACGACGGACCGCTGATGACGAAGACGGTTATGATCACTTTGGGCGCGGCCGCGGCGTACATGGTGCTGACGGTGGTTCTCATGACGTACTATCGTTATCGTCGTAATCGCAGGAAGCAGTATCTCCACGAGCAGACAGAAGGTATCTATCTTCTCCGATCGCTGCGCGAAAGCGTTGCGGACCTGGCGCCGTTGTAGCCGCGAATAATCCGCGAATAATTTCGATCGCGCAGAGAAACTGGAGAACGGAGAGGTGCAGGAGGAGCAGACCGAGCTGAAAGAGACGAGCAACAGCAAGATGAACTCGACCAGCAAGAGAAAGGAGAACCGCGATTCGCACAACAAGAGCGACGGCGCGGACACCGCTCAGAGTCAGAGCAGCAACCAGTCGAAAAAGTCCAAGTCGAACTACGACAAGATCGCCGTGTCGCGTAGCAACTTGAAAGACCTGAAGCCTCTGGGCCGCGGCGAATTCGGGGAGGTTTACTCCACCAAGTACCAAGTGGACGGCGACAAGGAGAGCGTGGTGATGGTGAAGAGCCTGATCAACACGAAAGACGAGATGGCGCTGCAAGAGTTCAAGCGTCACCTGGACCTTTTGCACAAGCTGAACCACGAGAACGTGGTGAAACTGATCGGTCTGTGCCGCGAGGAAGAACCGGACTACATGATACTCGAGTATACCGACTGGGGCGATCTGAAGCAGTTCCTGATCGCCTCGCGAAAGGACAGCAACACCAGCCCTACGCACGAGTCGAAACCCCCGCGAGCGCCACAGCTGTCGGTCGCGCAGATCCTCTCGCTGTCCAATCAGGCGGCGAAAGGGTTGAAGCACCTCGCGGACAATCGTCTGGTACACAAAGACATCGCCGCCCGAAACTGTCTGATCGCGAGTAACCTGACGATCAAGATCTCGCTGCCGTGCATGACCAAAGAACCGTATCAGCAGGAGTACACGAAACACCGAAACCAGGTGATCCCCCTTAGATGGTTGCCGTACGAGGCGGTCTACGAGGACGAATATTCGACCAAGAGCGACGTGTACTCGTTCTCCTGCCTCGTGTGGGAGATGTTCCACCAGGGCGAGTTGCCGTTCAACAAGATGAACGACGAGTCCGTGTTGGCCGCGCTGAAAACTCAAACACTGGCGTGGAAGCCGCACAAAGCCGCGCCGCCCGCTCTGCAGGAGCTCCAAGCTCAATGCTGGGCCAACGATCCGCGAGAGAGACCGACCTTCGACGAGGTGGTCTCGAAAATAGGTGAAATTGTCGTCGACAGTTGTCTCTAGATTAATCGGCAACGCCACGAGGCTCTAAATCGGAGATACCGCGATAGGGGTAACGATCGCGAGAACCCCGGCGCGATCCCGCGATGATTACCCGTGTCGCGGTATTCTGTCGCGTCCATTAGATCCGTAAGAATATAATTTATTTCTCACAGAAGGATCCGCTCCAATGACTGCTAACGTCGGATTAAGTAAGGATACGTACGATCCAGTACACGCTACAATATTATACGACTAACGCAATATTTAGTATTCAATATCAGTGTAACGATAGGTATATCAATCACCGCACATCGAATATTCGTAAGATACGCTATATCGTCGTTACGGCAGAAATCGCAAGCTACAGTGTGAATGCATCGTTAAGAAAGTATCATGACCATATCAATATCGAACGATCGACGATTTTTATATCCCGCCTAATTCACGTTTACACACTTTGTATCCCGTTAAGGTCTAAGGCTTAAGGATTATTTATAGCGTACACTTGCGTCTCACACACGTATAAATATTATATATAAATCCGATGATATATATGGGGGTGCCTACGCGGTGTGAGTCGCGCGATCCGAGCTTTCCGTGCTGCTCTCGGTCGTTGCTGCGATATCCGACTCGGTGCCCCGAATAATCGCGATCGCGGGCCCACCCCGCGCGCGCGCGCGCGCCACGCGATTAGGGAGAGAGAGGGAAAGAAGCCAGGAGCGATTTTACTCGATGTCGACTCGAAGAGGATAAAAGCAAACGGCCTTGTATATACCGTGGGTGTAAGCGTAAGTTTGTTCGTTAAGTACAATCGCGAGATTCGAGTTTTTCATTTCTCTTCTCATCGATAGACACCTCCGAGGGATCGCGACGCTACCGTTCTCATTGTTTCTCCTTTCTTTCCGAGGGAACACACACTCCTTGCGCTTGTTCACGTTAGGAAATAGGTCGACGAAGACGAGAAAACGAGACGAATTTACCCGGTCACGTAGAAATTCTGCATCGAGTACCATCTCAGAGCCTATTTTTGCACTCGAGGGAGTATAGACTAGGAATCTCTCATTATGGCCTTTCATCGACCGAACTCTCGCCCCTTAGGAGACGGATCGTCCTTGCGGCTGGACACGTCGACTGCGTCCATATCAGGAAATTTGTACAACGAAGCCGTTCCCTTTCGTTTCGTTCCCTTCTCCTTTCGTTTCGCAGATGCAACTATCGAGGAAAAGGCTGTTGTCGCCCCCGTGGCGTTTGGTTTCCGGCGATGACTCGCCAAGGGTAGAGAGAGAACCGCGAGCAAATTTTTAGTCTTGCAAGAATTAAACGCAGTAGGATTATAGAGGGTTACGATTCGCAATACTCGATACGATCGTGCTAGGCACGCGCTATTTCGGATGTGCTACCACGACGACTATCATAGCCGCCGCGTATACGTACACGTACAGAGCTGTCGCGTCGCGACGCGCCACGTCGGGACGTCGAAGATCGCGAGCTCGCGAGAGAAGATCGGTATTCGAATTATTCCTCGGCTCTGCACACGTACGCGCATATAAAATATATAATGTATCATATACGCATCTAGATGTACGAGACAGTAAGATAAACACTGCCAATGAGTAATATCCGTAACGTTAAAGGTTCTCATAATCATAGCGAATACGACCATTCCCTAATTTAATGCACCCTCGTCGCATCGAAGGTATCGTGGGGAAGAGGGACACCCCTGTCCGCGTGCCTACGCAAATCACGATTTTGCAAGGGCGCTTCGAACGAAACGTCCTCGTCGAACGCTCGTCTCGAGAGATCTCGAGGGATCGATCGACGAGCGGGGGTTCTAGCGAGTGCGCTTGCAAAGGTCCGGCCTGAATCTTGAAATGCTTCCTAAATGTTCGCAGTATACGCCAAGAAATATTCTTGTAATGTAAAGTACGTTAGGAACATACCTTGCAGCAACTTGACTGGCGGTTCGTAATCGTTGCAAGGCCAATTAGTCGACCTGTCAAGGATCTAACAAGGATCTAACCGCTCGTATCATTCGCTGACCGAATTTTCCGGGACCGTGACGACCCTCGTCTGGTCCCTCGTTCGATCGGGGGGACCTAGACCCTCGAATCTCGTTTCAACCACTCGCGCTGGAAAGACGTGCCACGCACGTCGTAATGCCTTTGTCGCGGAATCGCCAGCCAGCGTGGTACACGCGTCATCGGGCAATTGAAACAATGGACTGTGAATTTCTTGCCAGCGCAAGTGGTCGTTAACGCCGTTTAGCGATTCGCGAGCTGTCGCAGCCATCGCTCGCGCCGCTTCTCGGCCGATTCCGCGCGACTTCGCGAGACGAGGGGTCCGCGCGCGTCCGACGCACCGACACACACGAAACACACACGCTGCGCCAGTGATTTTTAACGAAGCAATTTATTACGTCTAATGTCTAGTCATACACGGTGAGAAAAGCGTAAGCGAGCAACAAACTCAAGATCCAATTTTTACACGAACTTTCATATCCCTAGGCGTTTTGTAATCGATTTCTTTTTTACAGTATTTTGTAAATATTTGTACTTTTTTATCTACATCGTACTTATGAATCTTTGAAATAGTATGTGCTACGATTAAATAAAGGTGAATAAAAATGGAACACCCTGCCCTCTTTTATTTCCCCGAGATTCTTCGAGATCCTGCGGGATCGAAGGTTAGGGTAGTGTAGGAGTTATAGGAAAGAAGAGAAAGGGAGAAAATTAAATTCTGTTAGTTTCAACTAAGAGAATATATATTTTGTATAAACTGATATGGCGGCGAGGCCTGGCAAGGAACTGAACTGTCGCGTTCCTAACGCCGCTGAAAAAGAGAGATTGACTCAGTCGCCATTTAATCAAATTCTAAAGATGGATGTTAATTAATATATCAAATTTACAATTACCCAACGATGCGCGGAATATCGGAGTAAAATAATCCTACGTCTTAAATTGCATACGATTTCTTATATTTCTTATATGCTTTAAAAATATCGTCGACCTTATGGCAGAAAGTCTTCGAATTACTAATATCCTATAACGAAAAGTCGCCGAGTGCAAAGGGTTAACCCTTGGCGGCACATGTATGCGTTTTGGGGAAGCTATTCGACCGGGGTCGAGGAACGCATATATGCCTAAGTTCGACGAAAACAACTGTCACGGCCGAAGGACGCCTAAATGCGTCCCTGTGACCGAGAATCACAAATAATCGCTTAGTGTTGCGGCCCCAGAACCCTGGCGTCCCAAGTTAAATGGTGGACTGTTTTACGTCCTTATTGCCAGCGTCGCCATGAACGAAAATCGCGTTTAACCCTTCGACTGTCACGCCGAAATCACACGTTTCGCTCAGGACGTCACGGGAGTATTTTTGCTATTCAAAGCATATGAGCGTTTCGGCCACCAATGACCATCGTGGCGTCAAAGGAGAAACCGTGGCCGATCATATACGACCAACGTGACAGTGTTAAGCAGAAACGAGCGCTGGTACTTTCGAATGACCCGCGGCACGGTTCGGGGTTAAAACAAATGGCGGTGCACGTCCTCGCCAGGTCAATACCGGCCCAGGCTACGCATTCGTCGTCGTTGCACTTTAACGGAGAGGAAGGACGAAGAAAGACGTACGCCGGTGTATTACCTAATCAAATTTATTTTTACTTAATATTTCGTGGTACAGTCTATGTCTATTACGATATATAAAATAACGTAGTCGTCGAATGTAAATGGGTGAAACGAAAGAACGTTCGTAACGCCGACTGAACAAGCGCCCGGAAAAGAAAATCGAGTCAGAGGCAGTCGTACTGTGATTATTAAATACTTTATGAATATTTATATTTATATATTTATATATATTTTTCGTATATGTATAGGAAATCAACGTGTATACGAAGAGAAAACCGATAAACGCAGTTTGACGCGAAGAGTATGTTTAGTAATATTTATATATTTATATATAAAGTCTAATGAATTACTTAATCCGTTACTTAGTACTTAATTCATTAATATAGTAGCAGCCTCACTCTCTAAATAGTACTAAATATAATAATGGTATAATGCGGTAATTATCGTTAATATAGATTATTAACATTATAAATAATCATCGTCAGAATCGTATAATAAACAATAGTACAAGGTGTTTTTTGTGATTTTAGTGTTTTTTTTTTTTTTTTTTTAAATGTTATCATATAGTAATAATCACAATAGCGTATTCTGAAAAATAGATCAGGGTCCCGTGGGCAGAGAGCGGAGTACCTCGTTATTACCAAGCATCCGTTTCTTTCTTTCCGTCGTATGTCTTCAGCCTCGAGAGAGACTCGTGCAAAACTCGACGATCCGAACACACCCTCCCCCCTCGCGATCGATCATTCGCGGATAGACGCCGATCGATCGATCGTCGAAAACCACGATCCAGCTTCGCTCGATCCCCTCAGGGAGCGAGTGATAAGCATCGCGCAATCGTAACGACGCCATATCATCCTCGAGAACATCGATCGAGGTACCAGCGATCGATGATCGCGGAATCGACGTTCGATCGGCCGAATGACAAACCGCGCGCGTCCCGACTCTCGATCGCGTTCGAACGTCGATCGGTCGTTTCCGCGAAACGCGAAAATATCCGCGGATGATCGATCGGCAAGGATCGATCGATCGACGACACGGGGGAGGGAGCTCGATCGCGACGTCGGCGAGTTCGTCACGATTAATCTACGTTAGTCGTTGTTACGATCGCGGTTCCTCTTCCACCGAAATCGATCGCGGCTGTCCCCCCCCCCCCCCCCCCCCCGCCGCGATTTTTCCCCGACAACTTCGTTCTCCTCTGCCTCTCCCTCTCGTCCGCCTCTCTTGTTTTCGCTTTTTAATCGCGTCTCTGCCGCTCTGCCTAGGGAACCCACTATAACAGGGCACTATGAACAGCAGTCTGCTGGCTAAGTGACTTTCCGAATCTACAATCGCTCCTCTTCATTTTCTCCCCCTTGCTCGCCACCCTCTTGCTCTCTCGTTCTCTCGTTCCCTTTCGCTCTCTCTCGTTCACTCCCTCTCTCTCTCTCTCGATATTCCGCGTTTTTCGTTCGTTCCTCCGCGTTCTTCCTGCTCGATCTTTCGCTCTAGGCTCGCCCTCCATCCCTCCCCTGCCTCCGATCCACCCTTCGTGCTCCGCGAAAGCTCGCCACCGTGCTTCTCCGAGCTTTTCTTCCGCCACGAATGCCTTCGCTCCTCTTTTCCTTGATAGCGAACTATGTCAGGCATAACAGACGCAATACGGTAATGGAAACGAATCCCCTTTACCCTCGCGCTCCCATTCAGCCCCGTCCGGCTAGCGTCGCGGCGCTCCTCGTCACGAAGGCAGCGAGCGTCGCGAGAACGGCCAACGATCGTCTTTGGGATTTCCTTTTCATTCGCCATTTCCTCGTCGATACGGACGATATTCCTTCCTTTCTTTCTTTCTTTCTCGCCGATTATGCGTCGTAATCGCCGTCGCGACGCCGCGCGAGGAGGACAGCGAGGGCGAGCCGAAGAGTAGCGTCGCTCTTCCCGAACAAATCTTTCGGAAATCCATCCACCTCGGGATCCACAAAAGCACTCGTTGCCAGCATGCTTCTCCTATGTCAGCATTCACACTACGTGTCAGCCGATAGTAAATCACTACTGTACCTTTTTTCGCGTTATGATATTTTTTACCTTACGTTTTTAATTATTTTTTTTTTTTTTTCTTCGTTAATATTAGACGTGCCGTGTCTCTACCGTCAGTCTACTGCGAAAAAGACTACTTATCGTTCTTCCTCTAGCTCTCTTACTCCCTCTCCGTGCGTCGCTCCCGATCTCTTTCCACCCCTCGCAGGCTCTCTCGCAGTCTCTCCCGCTCATTCTCTCGACTCATTCTCACGATCTCGCGCGCGCTCTCTCACTCTCTCTTTCTCTCGTCGTCGCTCACGGTTCGCTCTATAATCTTCAGTACTTCACCGCGTTACATAATCATCTCCTGCGTTTATAAAGAGTATTATATAATATCATTCTCGTGTCGTTACAATATAATTATCGGCAATAATATACCTTCGGTATTAATGCAATATCGTTATTATTAGTATTATTAATATTATTATTAATTATTATTCATTCCCCCGGTACTGTACTCTTTTAAAATCGGCGCGACTGCCGGGCGGGAACGGGCCCGCGACCAGGCCCGTACCAAGCAGCCGCGTGAACAAATGCAATTTTTTTCCCGCGCCATCGAAACGTTGCGCCGAAAATTTTCCCATCCCCCTCTCTCCCGCCGCACTCTCTCCACACGTTCTCTGTCACCCCGTGATCAGCACACACGTTCGCAACGTACAACGCACTCACGCACAACCCATTCACTCCGCCTCGCGCCGGATTAGTTTCGAATGGTGTTCTCACTAATAAATTACTGCGAATCGCACGATCAGCGTGCGATAATAACGTCAAAGGCCCCCACCCCTATCGTTTTTACCCCGAAATCTCGTGACTCTGGTCTACGAAATTCGCTGGCGACTCGGATTACGCAAAGCCCGACAGTCGAGCGTTTCTCACCCCTAACCGAGTAAAACTCTTACTTCTTACAAAGTTCGAAAGTTTCTGCCCCTCTAGACGCACCTTTTGTAGCCCGTTTTCTCTCTTTTCTTCTTCTTTTTTTTTTCCTCTCTTTTTTGCTTTTTCTCCCTTTCCTCCGTTTCTCTTCTCTCTCTCTTTCTCTCTGCGTGATCTCAAGAAATCGGGAAGAATAGTAGCGTGTGCTCACAGACGAGGAGCGTGAAAAACATGCGATAGAACGACTGGAAAAATTATGCCGTTGATTCCGTTGTAATTGACAATGGATACACCTATGCAGCCTAGAAAACAGAAACTTGTCGAGGCGTTGACGAATGCGCTGACGACGACTGCTGGGCGATAATATCGGGGCCGGGGGAAACGGGCGGATTAATCGAGACGGCGAGATCGGCCCGAGCGTTCCCGACGCGGACGTGGGCAGAGATTCTACGAATTAACCGTTCACTTTTTCCTTTTTTCTTTTTTTTTTCTTTCTTTTTACAAACGCCCCGAGGAATCGCAGTGACGTACACAGAGAGGGCCTCGACGCGTGGACTAATCGGTCCCGTTTTCCCCATATTCAACAACGGCTCGCGTGTCACGCGGTTCACGCGTACGACAATGGCGCGCCAGAGTCACGCGTTTAACAGTGGCGTTTTTCTCCCTCTTTTTTTTCGTTTTCTTCTTTTTTCTTTTTCTCCTCTTTTTTTTACAATACGTCGACTTAATAGAAACTCGACTCTCATGCCGGATTCTCTTTCACCCTGGTTCCTTTCGCACCCTCCTGCTCTTTCCTCGACGAATCGCACGATCTCGCGGATATTTGTTGAAAGGGTGGCCGCACGCACGCCCCCTCCCCAGAAATACCGCGCGTCACACCCTTGGCCGAATTTCTCTATTAGTTA